TCATGCAGGTAAAAACAATGCCAAAGAAAAGGACAGGGGAAAAGCATGATATGAGATACTTTTGCTTTCAACCCTGATGATATGAAGTACTTTTGCTTTGGTGTGACTTGTTTGCAGAGGCATTCTCGGGGAGGAAGAAAACTGAGTATTTCGAGAGGCTTCGTTGGAAGTGCACTCTCAGAGATGAGGAAGAGTTAGGCATTTTTTGTGGGTTTGCCTTGCCATAGACGACGGAGGTCGACCTATATGGGGATTTCCCAATACCGAGTAGTGGTACTATTCTGTTACTCTTGTCAGCAATTGTTGGGTAATTAACACAGTAAGATTCACGCGTTTTCAACTTTGTCAGAAATCTTTGACAAAGTCGTCTGTGATTTCTGCAAAGTTAAGATTGCGTGTGAAAGGTGCCGACAAGCTTTAATCTAGAAAATTCGGCTTTTGAAATTCTAAGAGCGATGCCTATTTGATCTCTAGACAAGTGGCATTGTTGCCTCTTCGATTTCTGAATGGCCCTGTTGCCTCTTCGATTTCTGAACTTTTTTTTTGTGGTGTGCTGTACGTAGTTTATGCTCTTGCGGGCCAGGAGCATCATGTCGTGTTGCAGTTTCAACTCGTGCATGCAATGAGCATTTGGTGCCGTGTGCAGTTTCAGCTCGTGCATGCAATGAGCTTTGGTGCCGTTTGCAATTTTAACTCATGCAGGCAATGAGCAATTGGTGTCGCCTTTTAGGCTCGTGCGAACAAGGAGATTTGGTGTCGCCTTTTAGGCTCGTGCGAACGAGGAGCGTTGGTTGTCGCCTTTTAGGCTCGTGCGGACGAGGTACTTTGGTGTCGCCTTTTATGCTCGTGCGAATGAGGAGCTTTGGTGTTGCCTTTTAGGCTCGTGCGAACGAGGAGCTTTGGTGTCGCCTTTTATGCTCGTGCGGATCAAGAGCGTTTGGTTGTCGCCTTTTATGCTCATGCGAATGAGGAGAATTTGGTGTTGCCTTTTATGCTCGTGCGGACCAGGAGCGTTTGGTTGTCACCTTTTATGCTCTTGCGAACGAGGAACATTTGGTGTCGCCTTTTATGCTCGTGTGGACCAGGAGCTTTGGTGTCGCCTTTTATGCTCATGCGGACCAGAAGTGTTTAGTGCTGTTTACAGTTTCAACTCGTGCAGGCAATGAGCAATTGATGTCGCCTTTTTATGCTCGTGCGGACCAGGAGCGTTGGTTGTCGCCTATTAGGTAGTGCGAACGAAGAGCTTTGGTGTCGCCTTTTATGCTCGTGCAGACCAGAAGCATTGGTTGTATTTGTTAAGCGATCTTGGAGAAGCGATCCTCGCCATCTTTATAGCAAGAAGTCTGACCGAGTGATTGAAGAAGTATTTGGGGAAGAAATCGCGCATCATTATGGGGATGGACGATCTTTGTGTTGAAATTTCATCATCCTCAACATTTTTATGTAGCTTTGGAGGTTAATGAGGGCTACTTTGCCCCCTTTCCAATTGGTGCACTTGTGGATAAGACGTATGCTTCTCGTGCAGTTTCTTCGGAATGACATGAGTTCATCTTTCAACTTCGCTTGACTTGGAGCATGCCCTCAACAGTCGAGGTGAAGACTTTGAGTCGAAAGAGCTAGAAGTGACGCCTTCCTCAAGGATTTCATCTTTTCTGTCTTCTTGGATCGTGATGGGGATGACATCTTGGACCTCATCTTCAGTGCCGTCTTCTTGGGCTTGTTGGCATGAAGATTGGCCAGTGTGGATGATGGTGCGCCTTCTTACCTTCAGTGGTCCTTTTGTGTCAACCTCTATAGTTGCTTGGCACTTCATCCTTGAAGGAATCAAGCTTCGAACATCGTCTTTTTCTGCTAGACTGTCGAGTTTTTCTTTTTTTGGTGTTGTCTTCCTCTTTCTAAAAGACTTCTTGGTTTCTTCATGCCTGTCCAAAGCCGACCGTCGTAGATGAGTGTTAGGCGTGTTGTTTTGTTTCTTAGGTTTTGACAACCTTTCGAAAACATAACTTTGGGGTGTTGGCGTGTTAAGTCTCTTGAATACGGAAGTTCTGTCTCGACCATCGATGTGATCAAGTGCCGAAATTCTAGGGTTTGAATGATTCAGCCTATCAAAGACTGAAGTTTGAGGGGCGGGTTTAGGCTCTTCTTGATCTTGTTCAATGCTCACGCTGATGTGTTGAGAACTCGCATTTTTTGCTTTGCTTGAAATCTTCACGGGTGCATTTGGTGTGAAGCCAATACCAGCTTTTTTGTTGTCAACTCCATAACCATGCTTCTTCAACTTTTTTTGAGTCTCGGTGATGTCACATTCTTTGTCGTTGACGATGTTAGCAACCTTCTTTCCAAGATTTGAAGAGGAAGCAAAGTCGTACCCAGCATTTGACATGAGCTTGTAGGTGTTTGGGTCAAAACCTTCTTCGGTCCTCCTGGTTGGAAGGGAGCTTGGTTTTGCTTTCACGTCATGTTGCGCCTCTAATTGGTTGATGAGTCCGGCGATTTGCAAGTTTTTCTCCTCCGCGGTCTTTATGAGCCTTGCAATTGCTTCATTCATTTGAGCCAACTGTTTTTCAATGGAGGTAGAGCAGATGGTTGTGAGAACGGCTTGTCCTTCCTTTGATGCCATTGATTTTAGAGGTGTGCTTTGGATTTCTTGAACGGAGAAAGAGATTAGAGGTAGAGATTGTCCCACTGGGTGTGCCAAATTTGTGAACACGAAAATTCTTGCGATCTCCGTAAGATGTTAGTTTGTTGACATGTTGTTGATCCAAGGGTTGTCGAGGCTTGATCTTGGATGAACAGTTGGAAGTTTCTTCAAGGGCCTTCGGGGCTTGATCTTGAAGAACGAGGAGCGGATCTTCAAGGGCTTTTGGGCTTGATCTTGAAGAACAGTTGATGAACGGATCTTCAAAGGCTTTTGGGCTTGATCTTAAAGAATGGATGAACGAGTCTTCAAGGGTTTTTGGGCTTGATCTTGAAGAACGGGGATGAACAGATCTTCAAGGGCTTTTGGGCGTGATCTTGAAGAATAGATGTGTGGATTTGTTGATGTTGTTAATCCAAAGGGCCGTTGGGGCTTGATCTTAGGATGAACGGATGAGAGCTTCTTCAAGGGCTGTCGAGGCTTAATCTTGAATGAGCGACTTCAAGGGCCGTTGGGGCTTGATCTTGAATGAGCGGTTGGAGCTTCTTCAAGGGCCATCGGGGCTTGGTCTAGAATGAGCGGTTAGGGGCTTCTTCAAGGGCCGTGGGGGTTGATCTTGAATGAGCGGTTGCCTCAAGGATTTGGCGAAGAACGAAGAGAGCTTTCTTGATCCTTTGGGATTCTTGGGAATTTGGGAGCTTGAGAGCTTTGGAGTTTCAAAGCTTCAAGGACCAATTCTTTGGTTTTTGTATTTGTGAATTGGTGTTTTGATACCTTGATGGAGAAGCCTATTTATAGGCTTTGAGAATGAATCACCACCACAAATTTTTTTGGAAAAGTGGATGATGTAGGTGAAATGAGTGGAGGTTGTAGGTGAAGTAAGTGGATGATGTAGGTAAAGTGGGTGGAGGTTGTAGGTGAAGTAAGTGAATGATGTAGGTGAAATGAGTGGATGTTGTAATTTTAATGCATTGGTCAACATTTATTTTACCGAAATTTCGATGTCTACAATGTGTGTCTAGGTATTCATCTCAATCAGCGAGCCAATTTCTTGTTACACAATTTTATTGATCAGTCTTGTTTCTCAAGATTTTGAACTCTTTTTGTGTTTCTGTCTTTTCAAGATGGTGGCTGTCTTTCGACTTTGCAATAGTGGAGGCCATCATACTCGCTTGTTATTCAGTTCCATATTCAACCTATGCGGCAAGCTACATGTAATGCAACATACATACCTTCGTTTTTTATTCCAAATATATCTATTTGGATTTGAAATCATAAGTTCTTATAGATGTAGCTGCCTAGGTTCTCTTTTCACCATACACTTAGCTGTTAGCATGGTTCTTTTTCACTTTTATAGATCTCTTATTCTTTTTTGGTAGTTGGTAAGCTACAATTGTGAGTTAGAACTTGTCATGATGATATTTATCTATGGGAAGGAGTATGATATGTTATGTTTTCGAATTTTGTAGGGTCAGGCATGTGATGGTGACAAGTTCGTTACTGGTCTGTGGTGTGATGACAATGACGTGGATTTCTGATACCATCTTAGAATCTGGATTTGGTAATATACTTGATATAGTGGTTTCACGTTGGCATATAATATCATCATGCTATTATTCCTCATATTATGTCTGTTGCCATGTTTTAGCCTCAGTTTTTTTCCAAAATAAAGATTCAACTTTTCACAGCCACCCGTCAGTGTGGTTACCATTTGTGCATGCTGGATTTAACAAAGGTTTTACATAGATAATTTAAGAGTACATAATGGTGCTACGTGTATCCCGTGCCTTGTAGCAGACGATATATTCCAAATTTAGGAGCTTGGCGTTTTTCCTGTAGATTAGTACAGAATTACAGATATAGTGTTTTCTGTCGTTATTGTATTTTGTACCTTGTTTTTGTTTTTGTTTTTTGAGGTTTTGACTAGCTTGTGCATCATTCTTTCAGCAAGTATTTTGTGCCTTTTTTATATGAGGTTTTGACGGGCTATTGTTAAGTATCTTGGTGGCAGGCAACAGCAGCATCAAGCATGATCGACCATTATTTAGCAATATCAATGTGGGGTTTGCTATCGGGTTACCAGTCCTAATAATAGTAAGTGCAATACCAACGTTACAATATCTATAGGATTCTTATTTGTTTTACCATACACGTAAAGAATATAGCCTGGCTTTACTTTCCTCAACTTTGGTTCACCCGACGGTGTTTATTTGATTAACAAGTTCTTCTTGCATAAACTTGGTGGTATATGCTTTGGTGCTAGACTCCCACAATTAGTTCTGACTATTGGTTGAACTTTGAAAATCATATCAGGCAGTTAATGTAATGCCAAGTTTAAGTAAGGCCTTGAGCCGGTATGGTGTATAACTCCCAAATAGGCTGTGCCTTCTCGTCTCCAGGTGATGGTCCTATATAAGACATTAAAGACAGCGAATCTTTAGATGTTCTTTCTGCGCTCTTTTTCTTTCATTACACACTTGTTTAATTACGTTTCTTCTTTTCGTTTGATTTATTTAATTGATTCATCAGAAATAGGTGTGTATATATGGGTTTCGTAGTCATAAACCACTTGTCTCCCACGTCTCCTCCTCTAGCAGATGAACAATCCAAATCCAACAGGAAGCGTGTTATATGCTAAATCAATGGAAACAGACTCTTTTTCTTTCGCTTGTCAACCGATCCAACTACAAAATGGCCAGAGCTTGAAATCAATGGAAACGAGTAATGCATCTCTGAGTATCATCACCAGGCGGCCTAAAACAAGTAATCATAAACCTCATCTCGAGACATGTTGACCAACTGTTTTGAGGAGATCTCTCCCAGAAGAACTTGCCTACGCAAGTCTTTGTTCGCAGGATTCTGGAGGCAAGAAAACACAGATGAATACTTTTCATTCGATTCCGGCGACTGACCTTTGAAACCCCAGTTTTCAAACAGCACGGACTCCAGTTGAGCAGCAACTTTAGAAGGGTCACATGCATTGACAGAATCCATATATCGTGCATCAGTTTCCTTAGATACCTTGGACAAAAGGAACGAAATGAAATTCCTTTCATAAGCCCGTTCCTTTTCAATATCTGTTGTGACAGTATTTCAGAACCAGTGTTAGCAGAAATTCTTCAAATCTTAATTTGATAACATAATGATTTTGTTTTCAGAAGGATTCAAACAACAGAGAAATAAGTTGCACAGCATATTAAACTTTGACATGGCAAATAAAAAGTATATATTAGCATGTAAATTATGAACAAGCTCGCACGATAAACGAAATTCAAATTTAATTATTAATCACCTTGGGGTAAAACTTGGCGTAAAACTCCCCATACTGCAGTACCAGGAGGGTCCAACCGAGGTGAAGGGTCCAGCTGCTGCCGCTGCTTAGTCCCCAGCGGCTCCACAGTTACACGTTTCATCATACCACACTCAATTAAGCTGTTTCGAAGTTTCTCAAACCAAACTTCATAGCAATTCTCGCAAAGGTCGTCCATATGATTGGGGTACTTCGAATGCGGTTCATCCAAAGACATGTGCACCAACTGTGTTGGTGAGATCTCGCCGAGAAGAACCTGTCTGCGGAAATCTTTTCTCGCAGGAGCATGGAGGAAATAAAATAGAGTAGAATACTTTTCAGTCGATTCCAGCGACTGATCATTGAAACCCCAGTTTTCAAACAGCACGGACTCCAGTTGAGCAGCAACTTTAGAAGGGTCACATGAATTGACAGAATCCATATATTGTGCATCAGTTTCCTTAGATACCTTGGACAAAAGGAACGAAATGAAATTCCTTGTAAAAGCCCATTCCTTTTCTTCATCTGCTGTGACAGTTTCAGAACCACTGTTAGCTGAAATTCTTCAAATCTTGTAGAATATGGACACAAAGAACAAAAAAAAAAAAATTCCTATAATTTTAAAAAACAAAGTACTACTTTTCATTATTATAGTAATACTAATTAAATTAGTGTTGTTGTTGCTGTGGATGGAGTGGAGGTGTTGTGGTACCAAAAACAGAAAACGTATCTAACATTTAAATAAATAAATAAACTTTGAAATCAGGGTGTAGTCAATTACAGTTTTAAAAAAGGATTTTAAAATATTTAGAAATCATGGTGTAGTCAAAGTAGGATTTAAGAGGATTTTAAAGAATACATCCAAATCCAAGGATAGTCAATTAAGATTTTAAAGAATACATCTAAATCCAGAGTTAGTGAGAATGCAAAAGATTTGGTAGGATTTGAATGGAAGAGGGATTTTGATGGATTTGAAGGTGGATGGTATATATACCAAATGCTATCAAGAATCCTACCACCCCCCATCTGATTTCTTTTCACACCCTCAAACAGAAAAGAACCTCCCAACCCCTTCATCTTCATCTATACCTTCCTCTTCGGAACACATCCCATCGTCCTCTTCGACTTCATCGTCTTCATTCTCATCTATCATGGATTTTTTTTTCAAAATTCTACTCGTAAACAACTATTGGGTTCTGGCAAGTTCTCTCTTTTCTCAGAAGGGGGAACAGTCTTCCTCCATTTTTTGGCCTACCTGAGATCCGATGGTTCAATTATCTTTTTTAACATATAGCTGCAATTAGTTGTTTTCTCCCATGTTCTCCTCGCACGAAACCGATTTTCAATGGAAAATCGCCTCAAATCGCCAAAAATCATCTAATTTCCATTACCCCAAATCCACATACACAAGCTCAGTGAGTTCGGCGCTGGGCCGAGCTTTGTTCCCAATAGCTATACTTTCTGGTTTTGGGGTGAACTCTGTGCCGCATGTGCATAACTTGTTGATTCATATGCATTGTTGTTGTGGGGAAGTTTGAAATGAATGAAATGTGGATTCTAATGTTATGCTTGGTGGGTACCGGAAGGGCAGGAAGCCAGAGTGTGCATTGAAGTGTGCATTGAAGTTTAGGAATATGATGGCATGGGATTGAAAGGGAACGAAACTACGATGGTGAATATGCGTGCGGCTTGTGGTCGGTCTGCTAGACGGAATGAAGGAAGGTTAGACAGAAGAGACCCATAACTGAATACACATTGGAACATTGGAGTTGTTTGAGTCACACCCGCATGATTTCATTAAAAATGATCCAGACGGCACTGCGTGTGATTTTCAATTTTTTAAAAATCCTAAGAAATCTATGGAAGAACTTCCATACAAGTCCACAAAAATCATACTGAAAATCCATATAAATCTTCTAAAATCCATATAAAATTTTAAAGTCTATTAAAATCCTTTGAAATCTATCATTAAGAAGGGTGTATTCAATTGAGAATTTGAGAGATTTTAATGGATTTATAAATCCATGGATTTTTATGGAGTTAATTGATTTGTAGAGATTCCATGTAAAATTTTGATTCAATTCCTTCGAAATCTCTTGGGGAATGTAAGATTTGTGGATGCTCAAAATACCCTACGAAATCTCTCCAATTCCCTCTAATTCCTCAACTTTCTCAAATTCTTTAAAATCAAATTATAATTGAATACACCTAGAATGTTATAAACTTCTTTAAAATTCTAATTGAATGCATCCGGATTTCTAAGGATTTTCATAAACTATCTTAAAATCTTGATTGAATACACATTGAATTTCAGAGAATCATTTAAATTCCTGATTGAATACCCCTAAATTCATTAAAAGAATTAAAATCCCTCAAAATCTTAATTGAATACAACCCCTAAAAAAAATCCATTGAGAGAGAGAGAGAGAGAGAGAGAGAGAGATTGGGGCCGAATCAATCACCTTGGGGTAAAACTCGCAACGCTCCTGGAGTAACTGACCTAGGTTGACGGTCTTCCTCCTCCAGCGGCTTCTGCTGCCTCTTCCTCTTGCCACAAGCGAGCTCTGCTTCTCCGCATAACACCCAACGGCGCCGATTCCAGGTACTTCAGCCTCCATGTGCATGGCCATCTCTCTCTGAGATTGAGATTGCAGATTGATAGATCGATTTATCACGCTCGATTTTGGGACTCTTAGGTTTTGGGATTTTAATTGATAATCGATTGATGGAGGAAATACGGGTCTCGGGTTCCCTTCTATTTATAGGTTAGTATTGGTCTTTTTTTTCACCATCCACTTCGGGTCTTTTTTTTTTTTTTTCATTTTTGAGGGACATTTCGGGTCCTTTAATGGTTAATATTGGGCTTTGTTTGATATTTAAGTATTGACGGTAAGTTCATATAACTACCCAACTTTTAGAGGTAATCCTAAATTTATCTCAATTTTTAAAACGTTCTAAATAACTACCTAATTTTTCAAAAATTGAACTTCCGACATGTCACCAGCGTTAAGTGATGACCTTGACAATTATTGAAGCGAGATTTCACTCTCACGTTATTTATAAAGCTCTAAATCTCCAAACGGATCCCTTCTACATTATAGACATCGTCAATTAAAGGTGGTGACATCATCACCTAATGTCGGTGACCTAGAGAGCGTTTATTTTTCAAAATGTTAGGATGTTCTTTGGAATGTCTTAAAAGGTTGTGACTAATTCGGAATCACCTCTAAAGGTTGGGTAGTTATCCGTACTTAACCCTTAAGGGCCCGTTTGTTTGACCTTCTTAAGTTTCACTGGACTAGACTCACTTACTAGTCCAGTGTTTGGTGAAAGCGGGACAACGTTTAATGGTACTAAGTCGGACTCGTGCCGACTAAGTCCTTCACTGCGTGGTCTTAGCGAGGCCCCTCAAAACGTTTGGGATTGCTAATCCCGTCTCCGAACTTGCGTTGTGTGCAACAGTGTTGTCTACAAGCATGCCTCTCTGCAACTCCATTTGCCTCCATGCCCAGATCTTAAACCCAGATTTGAAACCCAGCCCACCCATGCCCATATCCGAAACAAAAAAGCAAAACGAAAACAACAATCTCAGTAAAAATTCTTCCCTCTTCCCAGAAAATTCGAAGGAGTGAGAAACAGAGGCAGCAAAGTCCATGGCGATGGGTACCGAGAGGACGAAGCCTCTGCATAATTTCCGCTTTCCGTGGGATGTGAAGTGGGTGATGTTGCTTGCCAGGGAGAGATGAAGTGCAGAGGCAAGAGGCAAAGAAGATGAAGTGAAGAGGTAGATGATTTGCAATAAAAAACGAAGTGACAAAATGGAGAAAAGGGGAATGGGGAGGGAGAGGCGGAGAAAACAATGAATGAAGACATAGGGGAGGATTCTAGAAAAACAGGGAAAAAGAAAGTAATAATAAAATATTAATTGATATATTAAATTAAAAATAAAATATTAATAAATATAGATTAAATAATATAATATTATAGTCCTGCTTCTTAGTCTGACACTGCACCAAACGCTTCACTAAGTCAGTCCAGCTTAGTCTAGTCTAAGCCAATCCAGCTTAGTCCCTGAAGCTAGTCCAGTCCGAGACAGTCCGGTGCAACAAACGCACCCTAAGTATTTTAAGACATTTATGTTTGCACCCGACTTTTGTCTCTAGACATTCTTCAAGTTTTATTCAAAGTAAAATGATACTTGTACCCATATGTAAAATTATTGTAAAGCGCTAATTAGACTCTTTGATAAAATCTTAATTTCTTATAAACCCAAATTGGACACCCACTAGGGTTTTAATACAAAGAAACGTATTCATCATTCTCACACCTTCACTTTCCCCTTTTTCTATCTCTCCAATGTTGATGAAAAAAACACTGTTGAAGTAGAAACTGACATCAACAATGATTTAAATTGCTTGATAATTCGATAAATTTAGGGTTTAAAGTGATGAAATATTAAAATAAAATGTGGGTGTACAAAGTAAAACAATTTGATTAATTAAAAGGGCAACTTTAGAAAGAGAAATTTTATATAGACCCCTTTATTCTCTTTCTATACCTAACTTATCATTTTTTATCTTAAAATTCCAAATATGCTCCATATTTCTTTTTCTACACCCAACAAGAACAAAAAAATAAAAATAAAACTTCAAGAAATAGGCAACTTCAAGAAATATTCCTTTGTTCTTCTTTGTCGTTCGTTCTTCACCGTCGTCTCTCAATTTCTGTAGAGTCTCCCATCTTCCTTTTTTTTTTCTTTTCTCCCCCATTTCTACTGCGACTGATGCCTATTTATAGGCATCATAGGAAGCCTCGGGAGCTTTTACGTGGGGGAGATAGAGGCCACATCTTTCGTTACCCTCTCCCACTAACCGTGTAACCTCCCACGTCTTGCAGGAAACCTTCCACATTTTGCAGAAGATGGGGAGTTTTGCTCCACGTTTTCTTCTCTTGTTGACTTGGATTTCCAAGTTTAAACAGACTTCACGTGAGCAGCATCCCTATTTTCCTTTGAGAAGTTTATTTGCTGCAAACTTCTCTTACTCTATTTTTTATTTTATTTTATTTAGGGGTTTATCTTATGCTAGGTATCCAATAGAGAAGGGATTTCGAATTCCCTGATTTTGGTGGCTTCAGATATCCCCCTTCCAAGCCCTCTTTTTTTTGAATTTCTTTTGATCACTTTGGTTTTGATGTGCAGCTTTATTCATCTTGATGTATATTTTTTGTTTCAACACATACAACCAAATTTACGGAAAAACTAGTGATCAGTCCTTTCCCGAACTGGTACCGTGGATTCTTTTTTTAAACATGACCAATCAAATTTGTCCAAGATGAAAGACGGAAGGTATACTTTTCAGCAGATAGCTGTACCATTATTCAAGCATGGCTGTTGCTTTTAAGTCTTGCTCAAGTACAGCTGCTATGCTGCACTTTTAAGCAAATATAGTTTTTGATGGACTTGGCCTCTTCTTAAATCAGTATGCATGACAATTATTTTTTGTTTTTTTAATTTTTTAATTTTTTTCAAATGCATCAGACTCCTTTTTTTTTTTGTTCAATAGACCCAGTTTGATTTGTTGACCCGGACCCGGTCTAACCGTTGACTTTGACTCGTCAACGTTAACTGTTCGTTAACTTTTCGGGTTTTCGTCCAGGATCCCTTCTAGGCTAATTTCGACATCCTGGACCCGTTTTTGAAGTCTGTTTTCCCAAATTCAATCGTTTGAATATAGTTTTATTAATTTGACCCTTTATGTGCTTAGGTGCAATTATTGTGGCGTTTCCGTCTTCGCTAGTTTGCGTGGCTCTTCAGCGGCAAAGCATCCGTCAGTGGACCCCTTGTAACATCCCGTCCCGAATTTTTACGAAACAAAAGGGGTATTTTCGTATTTTCACTTTAGTTGGGTTTTCTTTGTTTTAAACTTGGCTTTATACCTTAAATGGTGTGCCCAAGGTGGGGCCCACCCTTTTTTTTGTCCCCCTTACCCTTGCCCAATCCGGATCCCCCCCTCACCTTTTGGGATTTTCTTATCCCTTTTATTATTTTATAACTCTCTCTCTCTTTTCTCTCATTCTTTCTAACCTCTTTCTCAGCTTTCTCTATCTCAGCCCCAAGGGCACCATGAACACACCTGCACACACACACCAACACACTCTCATTTCCCTCATCATCAAACACCACAACAACAAAACATCATCACCATCACCCTTGTGTTCTAAAAAACGAAGAAAGAACACCCCAAACCCATATCTTCTATTCGGTCGGTACTGTTCATCATATTTCCCTATGGGTTTCGTGATTTTCCAACATTGGTAAGCTTCTATAAACCCTTTGGATGTGTTTTAGGGTTAGATTGAAGCTCATTTTAAGTTTTGTGTAAGTTTGAATCGCAGAAAACGAACTTAGATCATAGACCCAGATTACGGTGATAAGCCGTGGTCGTTTGGCCATCTTTCAGGTCATTTTCTGGCCAACTCCAGGCACCACTCGGTCCCTATTTGGTATTAATCTCTTCTCCACATTTCTAAATACATTTTGGCTTTTGAATCACTTAATTTAGTTAAGAAACGAAGAAGTTACGAAGCCTTGAAAATTGTCCAAACATTCAGCCAAAACCCGGATTTTCCGACGAGCACCGCCCCCTTTCGAGGCGTTTTCCGGCCGGTTTTCAGGGTATCAATCTCTTCGTCTCGTCGAGTACTACAATTTTCATTTTTGTTTCAGTTGATTTCGTTGAGTAACGACGAAGTTATGGGCGTTCAAAGTGGTGCCCAGAAACCTGCCAAAAGCTTGGCTTGAAAACGGATCAACCTAACCCGTTTGCCTTGAAACCCAAACCCATTGGGCTGAGACCTAGCCCAATTACCCCACACCCAAATCCTTTTAAGTCTAGGCCTTGGGCCGGATTATCCAAGCCCAACCCAATCATTTCTATTTATTTAGTTTTGTTTTAAAATCCAAAGGCCTTTGGGCTGGGCTTTCAAGCCCAAAACCCTTTAAACCCTTTGATCCAAAACCCCTTTAAACCCTAACCCATCAACCTAACCTTTAACCCTAGCCCAAGTCCTTACTAAACCTTAAACCCTAACCGGTCCAAACCCTTTATGGGGAATATTCCTTTAGGGAACATTCCGTTAAGGAATATTCTAGGAATATTCTATTGACTTTATGAAATTTAACCAGAACCCTTCTTAGGGTAATTCGACGTCTTGAATCCGTTTCCGACGTCCGTTTTCCCAAATTCAATTGTTTTAATAGAGTTTTATTAATTGGACCCTTTATGTGCTTAGGGGCGATTATTTGTGACGATTCCGTGTTCGCTAGTTTGCGTGGCTCTTCGGCGGCTAAGTATTTGTGAGTGGACCCCTTCTAAAAATGCATGTTTTAATAGTAGAAATGCATACATGAAAAGCATGATTTAATGATAACGTTTTACGAAACGTTTTATGAGATAACATGCTTACTGATGCTAGTTTGAATTATTACTATTTTTCCTAATCCGTGTTCTTATAGAAGATTTGATGGATAACGATATGATATTTAGAACACGTTTAGAACACCTCTTTATGGTATAAATGATGAATGACTTTATACTATGAAGTTGTTTTTCAATATATATATGTTCATTGGTTTTGTACTTACCTAATGGTCCTTATTCCGCTACGGGACGTAAGGATGGATTGCGGTCCGTCCCGGGCGACGGTTTGGTGTTGGCATAGGGCTTGGAGTGTGTTTCCTTTGGCTATTTAGCACAGGGACTGGGAGCCGGCATGGGGCCTGGAAAGTTATATTAGACATTCATTAGTGATTATTAGGGGTGAAATTTTTTCCCGAAAATCCCGAAACGTCCCGAACCCGTCCTAAAATTTGATCGAAAAATTCCCAAACCGAATTTCCCGAAAAATTCGGTACCCGAAACTGAACTCGTCCCGAAAGTTTCGGTTTGGGATTCGGCCACAGCTTTGAAAGTGTTCGGTAATCCTGAACCGAACCGAATATTATATATATATTTATATATTTATTTATTTTTCATTTTTAATTAGAAATTACTTGAACCGTTGGATTTGTTAAGATCTATCTAATCCTACCGTCCATTGAGTTAGGTAATTTGTTAGGTTAGGTCTCTCAGACTCTCTCTCAGTCGCTCTCGGTCACTCTCTCAGTCTGTCTCTCTCTCAGTCTCACCTCACTCACACACATTCTCACTCACTCACAGTCCCGCCGCTCCACTCCTCCGTCGAATCCACGCCGCTCCTCATCCTCCAGTGACTCACGCCGCTCCTCCATCGACTCAGGCAGACGCAGGAAGGAAAACTCGAATCCGACACCAATCAAGTCCCAAAATCCAGGTTAGGGTTTCTGATTTTCACTGGGGTTTTGTTCTTTAGTGTTTAGGGTCAAATTTCATGTTGATTAACTTGATTTCTGAGTGAGTATTTTGTCGAATGTGTGAGGGTTTGAGGACTGTGGGTTTCAAATTAGGGTGGGTAAGTGCAGGACCTGCATGCAGGATAAGGTTCTATGTGTCGAATTAGGGTTTGAGGACTGTGGGTTTCGAATTAGGGTGGGTCCAAATGATACGGTATTGAGTGTGTTTATCCCAATTCTATGTTGTTGTTCTGTTTGTGACTCTGTTTAAATATCTACCACTTTTAGAGTATTTGATTTCTTTGATTATGGCAACCCTTTGCTGTTCGCATGTTGAAATATGGCCTCAAATTTTGTGGGTTAGCGAATTTGTGCATTTATTTTTTCGCATTTGAAATGTAGTTTATGCGATTGAAGATTGAAGCATTAGATTGAGATTGAAATGTAGTTTTATTGCAATACAAGTTACTTTGTTCAAAACATGTTTAGAGAAGCCGGGTTTTGTAAGTATGAAACTGTTCAATTTTTGGGTTTTTGTAGAGAAACTGTTGTCATTCTTGAGTAATTTGCAGAGAAACTGTTCTGATTGTTGAGTTTTTGTATTCATTAGTTTCAAACTCGCTTAAAGCATTTGATTGTTTATTCCATTTTGCCATGCCAAACAAAATATCTGAGGCGGTGAATAACATTTTAACTTTACTTCTTTTAGTTTTTATTCTCATTTTGAGTTCTAGATGTTAGAAGGTGTGAATGGCTTCCACATAATTGTGCGAATTGTTTGGCTGTCTAAATAATTAAATTGATGATGTTCTCTTACTGATTATGTAGGTATTATTTTCACAACAACGATTACCTTGAGATTTGCCATTGCTACAAGGCGATATACGATATTCCTTCTGTTAACGAGAATCCAGCTCAGTGGATATCGGTAAAGCTCTCACACACACAACACACACATATTTTAGGAATATAATTGAGCTTCTCTGATACTTTTGTTCTATGTCATACAATGGACCACTCTTTGGAATGCATACAAGGATGAGTTTGAGTGTGATACTTAATTTTGGCAATTTGTTTTTGTATTCAGGTCAGATTTTCAAGGATTGTTTACCTCTTCCCAAAGTTTGGTTTGTAACTTAATCTAAATTCATTCGGAAGTTTGGTTTGTAAAACTAACTTATTTCATTTTGGTTGCATGCACTTTTAATTAACTAGTTTGGTATACAATTGTGAACTTAAGCTTAACTTGTTAGTTGTTGCTTCCTTGGTATGAAAATGTGAAATTGAAATTGTGAAACTGAAAAATGTGGGCTGTGCGGGCAGGGCAGTGGGCTGCTAGCCTGCAATTGTTGACCCTTTTTTTTTTTTTTTTTTTGAAAAATGGGTGGGCTTACTTGTTAAAGAACTTAAAATTGTAAAAAGTTTTAAAAGCCCAACATTTTGGGCTTCAAGGCCCAATCCCGAAGTGTCGAAAATTCAAAAACACTTTCGGGAATCCCGAATTTCGGGAAATGAATAATTTTGGGATATAAAATCCCATCCCGAAATGTTTTGGTTTGGGATTCGGGTTAGGTGTTTCGGTTCAGGATCCCGACCCGAACCAGCCCTAGATGCTGCACCAAACACTTCACTCAATCAGTCCAGCCTAGTCTAGTCTAAGTTATCTAACTTAATCCCTAAAACTAGTTCAGTCCGAGATAGTCCGGTGCAACAAATGCTTGCATCTCTCACTTTCTTATCTCTCAGACCACTTCTCTCTCTTCCATCTCAATGCGAGGGGTTGAGGGAAGCCGGTTCTCCGGCCGATTTGAGGTGGCTAATACAAACTTTTATGTTAAGTTGATTCATCGACGACTCGCCTGTTCCCATCACCGGTTCGTTTTTTTTATTTAATTTCTGTTCCCATTTTGGGAAATTCTTATACTTTTGTTGAATTGTTAAGTTGAGATAGAATTAGACTAGACTAGCTTTAGGGATTAAGTTACAAATCTTGCTTTAGGGATTAACTTAATCCCAGAAACTGCAGAAATTCTTATACTTCTGCAAAAATCTTCTATCTTTTTCTGTTCCCACAAAATAGTGCATAAAATGTTCGTTTTTATGTTAAGTTGAATTTGTTTTGGATTTGGAATTGTTCTATGTACTATTTTGCTGAGAAAATTTGGAGGAAAAATCAGCAAGATTTGTAAATTGGGTTTCGGATTTCTATTAATTGGGATAACAAAGATACGATTTTTGTGATGATTGATAGTGCTTTACAATGTTGTTTACTTCTCTGATTTGAATGCGAATTTATGTGTGACTTAAGTGCAACGACTTCCTGTAATCTGAGATGTGGACTGACTGTTGCAGGTTTCTACGCTCCGTGCTCGCATGCTTAAGTGTCAAATCATTCAACTCTTTTAGCTGAGTATCTCCATGCACTCATGTTACCTTGATTTATCGTCTTTGATTTGTCCAATTTGATGTGCACTTAGAGAACATAAACGTTGTAAGGAGAAAAGGGTAATAATATGGACTATTTAACTCCTAAGTCCAGTTTGAAGTTTGAGTGTTTACATTAATTAGCATATTCGGAAATACTGTGAAAACCCCAAAAGGTACCAAGGCAAGATGAGACTATTCTAACACTCCCCCTTAGTGCCAGAATTGGAGACTTGACTCTCCCCCTTCACGTTGGGTAGGAGTCTAAGAGATACTAACCCCGAGCGATCCATGAGGCACACCTTATCTAATACCATGTAAAATTTGCGGGTCAAACTTATCCTTAAAACCGGCATACTAGGAAAGAATGCCCATGGTTTAATATACCATCCATCTTAGGCAGTGTGGAACCTACAATCACAGACAATAACAACTTAAATCCACTAGGCATGCTTACAGATGAGGTAAAACTCAGTGATTATTGGTTTCTGATGCGAGAGATAATCTCATCATATAAGAAACTACTCAAGAGGAGGGGGGGGGGGGGGGGGGGGGGGGGGGGGGGGGAAAGATGATATGGATAACCCTAGCTAAGTTAGTAGAGAGACTAATTAAGATCCTAACTCCTAAGTAAGCTGGAATTGACTGAAGGTGACTTCAGTAATTTCCAAAAGGCAATTCGAATTAATAATGGGATTTCCTTTGGGTAACACTCCAACCACTCCACGATTCTTCTGTTGCATGTTATGCATCATCTTTGGATAACAAATTTTGAATTCTGTGCTAACTACTTCATGCAGTTAAAGGAGTATCCAGTGGAGGCACGTAAATTGCGTCTTTCTTTGTTGAACAACCTCTCAAACAATTCATTGTCTGGATTGCCCCCTGAATTGGGTAAGGTTAACAATTCATACCATTTAATCCCGTATGACTTGTGATGCTGTAAAAAAAGTCTCTTTGTAATTTCAATTTGGAAGTTATGAAGGGATCAGAATTCTACTTTTGTTGATGCAATTTACAGTTGGTTAAAAGAATTGATATTTTTGATAATCATATAAGAAAGAAAGTGGTACTTCTCATACCTTCGCCAAACATATTAGACTATGCCAAAAATTGGGACCTAATTCTTTTTGGTTTAGAGATCTTAGAATACTAAAGTGGCACAAGTTAGTAGTGCACTAGTCTTAACTATATTTGCACGTCTGGCAGAGTGGGGGTGGGCGGATGGGATAATGAAATGATGAAGTTTAGTTACATATAACTCAGGAAAAGCTCTAATGCTAGTGGGATGGTGGAGGGTGGGCAAATAGAATGATGAGTAAACCTTGGATGTTTATGTATATTATACTCAGAAAAGCTCTACTACCTACCTTCTGTTATCTTTAAATCCAATTTTGCAAATTCTTATGGTTAACTGATGAAAATTATTCATTGTTTAGGACAGATGACTACACTGCGGCAACTTTTGCTTACCGGAAATCCAATACGAACTCTTCGTAGGTGAGGCATCTTCTTGGCCCTTATCATTTTGTGCTTCTTTTAAGTAAGTGTTATCCAACAGATTTTTTCCTCTCCCAGCACATTGGTTTCTGGATCAACTCCTGCTCTGCTGAAGTATCTTCGAAGTAGACTTTCTGAGAATGAAGGTATGTTCATTTGACAACACATGCATGACCATTTTCCTTTTTTTTGCCTCTCAAACCTGCTAATTTTACAAATTTTTTTTCTTTCTAAAAGGGATTATAGACTAGTTTTACTGGTTGAGTGTTTGAAACTTGGAAAGAATTAAACATCCTAATTCTAATTTGACAACTAATAATAAGCATTCAATTCTGGAAGTATATCACAGAGAAATCTACAACATTGTAAGAGTTCCAAAAATTCGCCACCATGATTTACAGTATTCAACCAACTTTTGTCTTCAAGTAAATTTAATTCAAGATTTGTGATATAGATGCTGAAGGTACAAGTACAAGAAAAGAGGACGTGATTGCCATGGCAGCTTGACTATCTATCGCTTCAAAGGTGCTGTTTTTTATTTTTTCTAAGATAACCTATTTTATGAATGATCATTTTATAGCTTGATTTGCTGTCCATGCCCACCCTTTTTCCCTTCTTTTATATTTGTATTGGTTGTTCTAGATGTCTGGTATAGAGCTCAGATTCAGCCTTCTTTGTAATCCTTCTTTCTGATGCTGGACTGTTGCACTTCAAAATGGTTTTACTTTCAGGAACTTTCGATGGAAGGGGTGGGTTTGAGTGCTGTCCCATCAGAGGTATGGGAGTCGACTGAGCTCATAAAGGTTGATCTTTCTAGGAATTCCATCCAAGAACTCCCAGTTGAACTTTCATCATGTATCAACCTTCAGGTAAAGTATCTTTATACTTATCATGTCTTTATACTTATCGCTTGCCTGCTTGTGAGGGAATGAATGATGAAGTTCATAAAGTTAAGTGCATGTATACTAGTAATTTTTTCCCTGACTTAGTGATACTACTGGTCGTACTCAGTGCACAAGGCTCCCGCTTTACGCAGGGTCTGGAAGAGGTGAATGTCGGCTAGTCTTACCCCCATTTATGGAGAGGCTGCTCCCAAGTCTCGAACCCGAGACCTACCGCTCATGGGCGAAGGCACTTGCCATCGCACCAAGTGCGACCTCTGACTTAGTGATACTACTGGTTACAATTATTTTGTGGCTTGACTTCCGAAGCTTTATGCATTGTCTAGGTGTAAGGCTAAATGGTGGAAAAGGTTCAGAGATAGTTTAGGAAGATGCAAATGGTTTAAATTGAAATCGTGAAGAAAACTAGGGTTTGGGCCGCTGTTCCGGGGATGTAAAAAATATCTTGAGAGTAATAGATAGGCTGTTTAGGGAACTCTAAATTAGGATAAGAGGGATAGGGTTTGGTTGCAAAAGTTTTAGAGTATACAAAAAATTATAGTGAGCAACTGATAAATCTTCGTATTAGTTGAACTCCAGTTGCTTGATGTATACAAATGTGGTTATGCAGGCCTCCATAATTTGATATTTGTTTCTCTTTTCCAAGTACTTTATCTTTGTAATGAATAGTAATTGATCATACGACTTGCTTTTTTTTTTAAATCTGCATTGTAAGTCATCCTTACATTTGTCCAAATGTGCAGACATTAATTTTATCCAGGAACAAGATTACACACTGGCCAGGTGCAATTTTACAGTCGCTTCCTAATCTTTTGTGTATGAAGTTGGACAATAATCCCCTAAGACAGGTAAATACATGTAGCTGGTCCAATCGTCATTTTCTTGTCTTGTCAATATATTTTCATGAGTTATTAGAGTTTTAGTAAACAAATAAGGGATGTGGTTCATGACAAATACAATTCTCGCAACAAACCTTTTAATACCATGATGTATATTATGACCAATGTATTCCAAAAATCTTAATCTGTCAAGTAATGGGTCAAACATTGTATATCAAACGAAAAGATGTGAGGACCCTCCTTATTTCTTGACTTGTAGATTCCACCAGGTGGATTTCAAGCAGCCCCTATGCTTCAGATTCTAGATCTAAGTGGTAACGTGGCTTCATTGCCAGAGCATCCCGCATTTTCTAGCTTACCGCATTTGCAGGAGCTTTACCTGAGGTTAGTGAACTTATGACACACACTCACACACTCACACGTAGAGATAATATATGAATGTGTTGCGTGCTTGTAGATATTGAAGTTCCTAATAACAACACTGCTGTTTGCATACATCTATTTTCGTTGTTTCTGTTTTAGGCTAAGCTACATCTTTTTTCACTTGATAGACAAATGCAGCTAAGAGAAGTTCCATCGGAAGTCTTGAGTTTGCAGCAACTGCGGATCCTTGACTTGAGCCAAAATTCCCTCCAATTGGTTCCAGTGGTAATATATTACTTGCCTAAGAAACAAATATACAAGTAATATCTCTAAATTTAAAAGTGTGTAAGCAGACTGCTGTAGAGGTTTTATGATATTAGTGGTAGATACTTTATGAGTTTAAAGCGGGGTCCTAATTTCATGAGGTGATAGGAGGGAGGGTTGGATTTATCCCTTTGCATAAAATTTCTTTAAAAGAATTTGAAAGCAAATAAAAGAGAAAAAAAGCTAATTGTTGCAACCATGCCTGCCAGTCTTGGAGGCACCCCTGAGAGGAATAGCTGTGGCTGTCATTAGGGCATTTAGTACAAATTAAGTTTTTATGCACAAATTAGTATTTATAAAATAGGAATAAAAATTTGTTAACCGAGGAAATATTATTTTATACAAAATAAAGAACAATCACTCTTTACAACGTAAATTTTAATAAGCGGAGTTATTCTTAAAATGACATCACTAAATTTAGGTCATTTTCTTGTCCCAATAGCCTTTGTTCATGTGGCACTGTGAGGAGTTGGGTAAAAGTTTAGGTCCTAGGTTCAAGTCTCACGGAATAAAATAAAAAACTGTATTTTATTCAGCTAATGTATTTCCATATTTCACGTCGCATATAGTACATATTAAGTACAAACAGAAAAAATGGACGTCTCAAAATCCTGGGGCTTGCCTTTGGCAGTCCAAGGAAATGCTCTAAATGTCAGATTTTGGTTCTCAGTTCATAAATCATGTCCTTCAAAGAAGATTTTGGTTCTCAGTTCATGTCCTTCAAAGAACTTCTTTCCTTCTTGTGGTACGTTAATTGTGATCTGAATTCTTGATTATCCCTGTTAATATTGGCGTGCAGGAGTTCAAAAATCTTGCTTCACTCACTGAGCTGGGCCTATCTGACAATAACATATCGATGCTTTCCCCAGAGTTGGTCAGTACATGAAAAGCTTTCACAGATGTTTTGATTTCTTAGGTTGTGACAACTGACTTCTTGATTATAGAGAACAAAAGATTCCGTAGACTCGTATGATTGACCATATAAAAAGATCGGATATAGAGCTTTACCCAACTTGCAGAGAGATTTCTCATTTCGAGCCCTGGTCGCAATGATGTAAACATCGCGCCAAAGCTTATGTTACTAGAAGTATGGTCCTGCAATGGTTGGGGTCGGTCATGATGAAAGCAACTAAAAGATAATTGATTGAATTGTTTCTTTTGTAGCTAAGATTATCTTCATTAATGGATTGCCTTACGTCTTCCCTAAGTTGTCTACTAGCTCACATAATTTATTTGATCTATTCTAATCTAAAGCATTCCTTTGATCAGGGGGTTGCTTGAGCCTAGCTTACAAGCCTTGAGACTTGATGGAAATCCATTAAGAAGGTATGCTACTTTTTCCTCATTTCCTATTAGTCACTGGAAGGTTTGCTATAATTTCGTATTTTTGTGGTGTTAAACTTAAGTAGTACAAAATTTTGCTGCGCATATAAAAGAAAAGGACTTCGAGATCAATTTTAGGTCAGTAAAGTTACTTCAGGATTGTCACTGGCTCAATGCCGAACTCGATTATCTGGGAAATACGGTTAAGGATGTATGGAAATCACCTGTGTGTCGCTGATCTATGGTGGACAAAGATGCAAGGCAACAGTCATCTATTGGCCTACGACAACTTGAGGCGTGATCCCAAACTCAAAGTATGTCTGCTTGAGTTCTTACAATGATGCACCCTGGATAGTCTCTTGCTATCAATTGCTTTATTTCATTAGGAAGTTGAAAATTCCCTCTAAGAAGCTAAAAAGACATTAACAGTAAAAATGTCAACGAGGCAATACATTCCGTCCAATTGCGTGCTAATCAGTCGGGCTTCCTACCAAAACATCAATCCATTGATAATAGAATGATACCTGTTGAATATACTTCATTTCAATGATTACCGGATTTCTAAATTCCCCGCTGTTCCTATGCATCATTGACCCTTCTCATGTTATTTTTATGTACTTGAACAGTATCCGGAGGACGGTTTTAGATAGAGGAACCAAAGTTGTTCTGCAATATCTCAAGGACAAAATTGTTGAAGACTAGCATCTTTGCATTCGCTCCCTTCTTGTCCAGATTCATTCCACTTTTACATGTGACCAAGATCTTGATCTGAAGACCGCAACACTTGTACCGCTTGGTGTATCGCAGCTTTGTATCATTTGAGTGTATGATTAGTATTCTTCACCTTCGGATCGCCGCCTAATTAAATTCCAGATCAATTGTATGTTTGTTTGTTTTTTTGATGTTGTCATTGGAGCTTGACTTGTAGGTGCATGTGAATTTTACCAATACACACATTTTAGTTTTACAGATAAATAATATTATTGACAGCAGAGTATAGATTTTTTCTGTTCTTGTAGCACTGACTTGCACGACAAGTAAACTTGATGTTAAGAGGGGATACAAAGAAATGGGTACTTTGACATTCTAAGGAATTTTCAATGCGAGGGGATTTAAAGAGGGAATTTACGTGTTAAGAGAAAGTGATTTTACTTTGAACTTTGGTGAATTTCAAGTTAATGTCATGGAAAAATAGGTGACCATCTTTTATATATTTTGAAGCGTGGTATTACTCACATACCTCTTTTTACCTTTCACTCTCTTGTTAATTTTTGTCTATTAATTTTCTTCAATTTATTCGATTTAACGATCGTAAATTGAGACGGGTGCGTGAGAGGTAAAATAAGTGTGGATAGCACCATCCTCAAAGTTGTTATTCCAGCTTTGACATTTATGAACATCGACGGAAGCTCAAGCGCTTCGGGATGCTTTGCTCTTGGCCAATCAACGTTAAATCAAGAAAATTGTGGTGGAAGGCGACTCAAAGATTGTTATTGATGCAGCTTGGGAAAATATGCGGTACCGTGGATTTGGTGAAATGGAATTAAGTCTTTAAAGAAGCAAACTTTATAGCAGATGTTATTACCGTTTTTTGAGTATAATTGTACTAATTTATATGTTTGGGATGGGTATGTTCCTGCCCAAGCAAAAAACGCTCTTTTGTATGACTCTCGAGACCTTGAGGCCTCGTTTGGCACACCGTATTAAGCATCGGATAGGGTTAATAATGCGGGAGCGGGTGTTTGGAGACTTACGTACTAAATAGTCGCCAGACTAACAAATCCGGTCCCAATTAATTAGTACGCCTCACACCCGCTAGTTAGTACGCTCAAAAAGCTCGGTATAATTTAGTCGGCCTCAAAACGCCTCGCACCCCTCTCGCATCTGCTCCGTCATCTCGTGTCTGTTGCTCTGGAGATTCAGAGCTAAATCAGCGGAACCACTCCCGCTCACACCTGATTGCATCATCTTCCTCATGGGTGTTTTCTCGTTTCATCTTCATCGTCTTCCTTTTGCTGCAATTTTCCTTTTTTTTCTTCTTTTTTTCTCTTTTTCTCTCTGTCTTGTTTCCTTTAGTTTGTGGTTTTTTCTATTTGATGGATTTGTGATTCTTGATAATTTGTTATTTTTTTCTGTTTGATGGATTAGTTTGTGATTTTCGTTGTGATATGGGTTTGAAGGGGATCTCGAATCTCTGAGCACTTCTCCCCTATTCGTCCTTCCCTGGGTTTCTTTTGATTTTTTTTTTTTTTTTGAGATTTTTTTTGTCGAATTTATTTTAATTATCATTCCTAAAATACTATTAACAAGTAATTAAAAAATATAACATAATTGATCCTATTAATACGGTGATTAGTCCAATATTGCACTAAACATCCGACTAATTTATTCAGTACTATCCGACGACTATTTATCCTATCCGACTAAAATAATCAGTACAGTCCGAGCTGCCAAACGAGGCGAGTGTTACTGAGGCTTCTCCTTAAATTAATTTCCTTCTTCCCAAAAAAGAAAAAAAAAGCTATTTCACAATAATACAGGTGAAAGTAAAAGTTAACACAGTAAAATTGTGACACCCTATGGGCTTTTACTGTATAAAGCCGGACCTCATTTTCTTTTTCTCTGCAACTGAAAACTGTAAGAGAAGAGAGGAGATAGAACCACACTGTAAGAGAACAGAGAGAGAGAGGAGAGAGAACCACACTGAAAGAGTAAGAGAACAGAGAGAGAGGAGAGAGCACCACCACCGCCACAATGGATTTGCAAGTCGAGCGAAAAGACATCGTTGAGCCCGAACGCACCCACGCCTTCAAGATGAAAGGTAAGAAGTTGTTCAGCAAGTTTAATGGTTATTTTACTTACTAAGCGAAGCTAGCAGTAATTTGTTAATTTTATATTTTACTGGTCTAGTGTTGGCATTGTACTCTTTTGTCGGTTGATTAGGATGAGAATTTGAAATACAAACAGTAATCATAATACAAGAAATTAAAATATTTAAAAAAAAATTCAATATCATATTGTTTCAGCCCCGAAAGATTGTCATGGAACCCTAAATTTTGCGTATTCGTGGGGAAAATACGCATTTGTGGTGGTGGATTCCAGGAAGAGCAATTCATATGGGTATACGATCTCCAATGAGGAGACTAAACTGTTTCAAATTCCTGGAGTTTCAAGTATTCATCTGCTCACTTATGGTAACGTGGCCGCTTACACGTTCGTGATGACACAACTGAAAGAATGCCGAGGTTCTCCTGCAGTCTGGGTTTGGCATCAACGTGAACTGGGTGTGACATGCCATTTATTCGTGTCAAACTACGGAATCCATTCATCGTTGCCTGGGTTCCATCCAACCACTATGAATCCAGCGGATTCCGTAGTTTGACACGAATAAATGGCATGGCACACCCAGTTCACGTTGATGACAAACCCAGACTGCAGGTGAACCTCGGCATTCTCTTTCAGTTGTGTCATCACGAACGTGTAAGCGGCCACGTTACCATAAGTGAGCAGATGAATACTTGAAACTCCAGGAATTTGAAACAGTTTAGTCTCCTAATTGGAGATCGTATACCCATATGAATTGCTCTTCCTGGAATCCACCACCACAAATGCGTATTTTCCCCACGAATACGCAAAATTTAGGGTTCCATGACAATCTTTCGAGGCTGAAACAATATGAGATTGAATTTTTTTTTTAAATATTTTAATTTCTTGTATTATGATTACTGTTTGTATTTCAAATTCTCATCCTAATCAACTGACAAAAGAGTACAATGCCAACACTAGACCAGTAAAATATAAAATTAACAAATTACTACTAGCTTCGCTTAGTAAGTAAAATAACCATTAAACTTGCTGAACAACTTCTTACCTTTCATCTTGAAGGCGTGGGTGCGTTTGGGCTCAACGATGTCTTTTCGCTCGACTTGCAAATCCATTGTGGCGGTGGTGGTGCTCTCTCCTCTCTCTCTCTGTTCTCTTACTCTTACAGTGTGGTTCTCTCTCCTCTCTCTCTCTCTTCTCTTACAGTCCTCAGTTTTTAGTTGCAGAGAAAAAGAAAATGAGGTCCGGCTTTATACAGTAAAAGCCCATAGGGTGTTACAATTTTACTGTGTTAACTTTTACTTTCACCCGTATTATTGTGAAATAGCTTTTTTTTTCTTTTTTGGGAAGAAGGAAATTAATTTAAGGAGAAGCCTCAGTAACACTCAAGGTCTCGAGTAGACTTGGCATTCGTGTCGTGTTTCCCGTGTTCGTGTCGTTTTCGTATCATACCCGATATCTTAACGGGTCGTGTCGTGTAACACCCGGTAAAATAAACGGGTAAAATGACCCGACCCGAAATCAACCCGATAATATTAATGGGTAATATGACCCGACCCGTTACCCGTTAAGGAAAATATATTTTAAACCAATAAATAATTAAATAAAAAACATAACACTTTTTTTTTAGTGAAAAAAAGGTTGAACCCACAATTGCTTGATTAGAACCAAAACACAAATCAATCTTCTAACCATGCAAGAATGGTATTGCTTGATTACAATTTGATATAGTCAATGGGACTATAAATTTATTTCATGGGACCGACATTCAATTTACGTGAGCACATGGATATGAAACTAGGAACTTGGTAAAGTGCTTAACATTCCTGGTAATAAAACCCTGTACCACTACAACATATGCTGATTATCACGCATATCGGGACCAGCATGCTGTGGAAACCCTGCTCCAAGAACACAAATCCCATCTTTGTTATCACAGATGCCATCCTGCAATAAGATGTGTGATAATTGCATTATAATTTTAAACATGGCTTGACAACAAGAGCAGCTTCATGATTTAAATCAACAAGACTTAGGCCCGTTTGGGATTGAGGTGATTTTAAAAAAAGCCACTGTGATAAAAAGCTGAGGGTCATTTTTGTGTTTGGTAAACTGAAAAAAAAGGGCTTATTTTGGAAGCTGCTGTGAGAATAATCTGAAAATCAAAGGAAAAGCTGAAGCTGCTATTTGCTGCTTTGAAAAAAAGCCAGTTTTTTCAAAGCACACGGAGCTACAGTGCTCCTTTAATGAAAAGACACACTATCATCCTGATTTTTTTTCCAAAAGCACTTTCACAAAAAAGTTTACCAAACACTCTACTGGCTTTATTTCACAGCCGCTTATTCTCACAGCAGCTTTTTTTCAAAGCACAGCAATACCAAACCAGCCCTTAAAACTTTCTATCGTTTGTAACATAAAGTACACACAACTGACATGCTCAACACATCATTGACATCTACTAGCATGCACACTATAACTCATTATATGCTTTTTAATAATTTCCCTTTTAGAACTGAAAGATGAGAGAGATGAATCTATATGTGAATCGTGATAAGAAACATGCTGGACAGAATCATACCCGAACAAAATGCCAGATTCCAAGCCATATATAATTTCTTCAACAACTTCATATTCCATCTGTACCATGAGCAGGTATCAGTGAACTGGTCGTGGGCACCATACTCAAACACTAAAGATAGATGAAACGAAGTAATCAGCTTACCAACTCCTGTTCTTTGCGTTGACGTCTGTAGATGCGTAGCCACCCATTAAGGAGGACCTATTTAAAGAGGCCTTGCAGGGTTAGAATCATTACACTGCATAAACCCAAGTGTCCAACTATAAACATCAGATGATGCACGGTATAAGGTACCTACAAACAAGAAGGCGACTACAATTGCCAACCATGGTAGATCAAACACCGATATTATGGAAGCCTTTTGCTCCTCACCTCCGGCACCAACCCCTGCAAATACAAAATCTCACACAAATTATTCTTAAAACAAAACACACAATCAAAAGTAATGTAACAGTTCCCAGTGAAGACACTTGAATTTTCAAGCACAGTGAAGAACTTACATTACCTATAGTGCCAATGCCTGCTAATGTAATCCCCATCCAGTCAACATCATTCATCATTTCCTTCAGATAAAAATGGGAAAAGATTGAAAGAATCGCAAGTCCACACCCGGAAACCGGTTGTATGACAGACACCTGAAAAATACATCATCCAACATTCATCAAAATGTAGCACAGCATTAATTCCAATCACCAAATACGTAAACAAATTGCAGAAAGAAAACAAATACCCCAAAAATCGAAACAATAAACAATGAAAAATCCTAGCTTCGGGGTTGAAGCACTTACAGGAGCTAAAGACAATGCTCTCAACATTAACAAAGCTCCGAATATATCCATCAGAAATCCTATCAGCCATGCTTTGAAACATACGCCCTGATCACCTGAAAACATATACAACATTCAAAATTTGAAATTTTGTTGTAAATCCTCAAAATTTGGGAATTTGAAACGAAACCCAATTCCCAGTTGGAACCGGAATCCCGGAATCCAAATCCAAAATTACAAATTGGGATTCGAAACTTGCAGGTCGAGTTAAGGTGATCTGTGAGTCAGTGCATACCAAAATGGAGCAGCAGCTCCTTCTTCTCCTTCTTCCATGGCTTCCATTCCAAGAGAGGAATCCAACGCAAGAAGCTGTGTCAATCGTTCGTGGTCAGAAATGGGAAATATGAGCGTAGAAAGAGTGAAGAGAGAGAAAGGTTGAAGAGGGAGAAATACTTACATAGGAAGATGTCGTACGAATGGAAGACGAGAAGATCGTGGCTGTCGGAATTTTGGAAGAAAGACGGCGGGAGAGAGGGGCTAGGAAGAACAAACGGCGCCGCGGGCGGGTTGGGAGAGGGTTACGGCCGGGAGTGGGGAGACTAGACAGAAATAATTTAGGGCTAGGCAGTGGGGTTTTTTTGTTTTGATCAAATCAGTCAGGACTCATATGGAAAACAATGGAAAATATGAGGGGTTTTTTGTCCAAAAAAAATTGTAATAATATAATTGAAATAGAATCCAACGGTACAGATTTAATCTCATTGATCTAACGGCTGTTATTTAAGTAAAGTCTTTAATAGTTTTTTAATTAATGTAGAAGTATAAAAAATATAGAAAAAATATATAAACGCTCGTAATAATAAGCTTTACAACTTTCGTGAAGAACTTAACTTCGAAATTCGCCACTATAATCATATAAATCATAGATCAAAATTTAACCGTTGATTATTGTTTACATTTATGCTTTATTTTTCTCATCAAATTTTGTTTTTTCAGATTTTCTTTTTTAAAAACATGATCTATTAGAGGATGCAAGAAGATGAACGGTTTGGATCGTTGATATTATGTTCAAAGTTTTACGATTAGTCAAAATATTGCTTGATGTTTATAAAGTTTATACAAACTATATGACATCAACTCATATTTCAATTAACCATAAATATCGAAACGTGATATCAAATATCTAAACCGTTCATCTTCTTACATCCACCAGATGATCATGTTTTAAAAAATGAAATTTAAAAATGAAATTCAGTAACAAGAATAAAGCGTAAATGATAATCGACGGTTAAATATAAATTGAAGGTTTATGGATTATAGTGTTGGATTTCGAAGCTGACCCCTTCATGAAAGTTGTAAAGCTTGTCATTAAGAGTGATTGGATATTTTTTTTACATTTTTTACACTTCTACAATAATTATTATTAATTTTATTAATTTTGCCTTCAAATAAAAAACATTATTCATGAGGGTTTGGGAGGATTTTAAAAATCTAAACGATAAAGTGTAACCATTATCTACTCGTAGAGGAATAATGATGAATAGCAAGTGTTTATATATTCTTTCACATTTTTCATACTTGTATTGTATGTATGTCTTCTTAGTTCTTGCCTATACAAATATTATACTAGTTTATTTTAATTTTGGACAAGAACATGTTAACTGTTAAGTAAAATTTATTATCCTAGTAAATTAGTAATGATAATAAAGAACTCTCATAATAAAAATAAGGGGAAACTTGATATAAGTCCAATTTTTTTAGCCAATAGTAAGAATAGTCCAATTTATTAAAATAAGTCCAATTCTTTAAATTTAATTATTTAATTATCAATAATTATCTATTCAATAATAAGATTTATTATAAAAATCAAATTTCTTCCTAATTATCTCTTTGATTATTATTATTATTATTATTATTTTGTTATTTCTTGTTCTTCCTCCCTCTTTAAACCTCGTTTATAGATTTTATTTTTAATTTTATAATCAACCTATATCACAGGTTAATTATTTTTATGTATCTATATGACAGATTCTTCTTTATAATTAACGTGTTACAGATTAATGTGTCTTGCTTCGCTTGTAGGTATATTATGTTTTTCCTACTTTTTAGTTAGGTTTCATATCTCGTTTATAGTATATTAGTTTTTTCTGTTATAAGATATTAATTAGATTTTTTGGAGTTGAAAAATGCTTCATATTAGAATATTTTAATTGATTTTTAATATTTTAAAGAAATATAAAATGAGTATAAAAGAAATAAAAACATGTAATTATATAACTGGACTCACTCCTAAAAATCATCTATATTTTTGGACCTAGATCTAAAAGCCCCTAAAAATAAATAATGACTAAAACTTTTTTTTTATAACTTATATAGAATAATAATACAAAAAAATATATGTAATATAGAATATATTGTATATATTAATATGGCTATTGTATTTTATAATAAATCTTTTAGTAATTAAACTTTAAAATTATCAAATTAATTTTTTTCTTAACGGGTCGAAACGGGTCACCCACGTGTTACCCACGTGTATACCCGTTAAGAACCCGTTAATAACGGGTTCTTAACGGGTCACCCGATAATAACCCGATAGGTTATCGTGTTGACCCGAAACCCGTTATTTTCGTGTCGTGTCATCGTGTCGTGTCAGAAACTGCCAAGTCTAGTCTCAAGAGTCATACAAAAGAGCTTTTTTTGCTTGGGCAGGAACATACCCATCCCAAACATATAAATTAGTACAATTATACTCAAGAACGGTAATAGCATCTGCTATAAAGTTTGCTTCTTTAAAGACTTGATTCCATTTCACCAAATCCACGGTATCGCATATTTTCCCAAGCTGCATCAATAACAATCTTTGAGTCGCCTTCCACCACAATTTTCTTGATTTAACGTTGATTGGCCAAGAGCAAAGCATCCCGAAGTGCTTGAGCTTCCGCCGATGTTCATAAATGTCAAAGCTGGAATAACAACTTTGAGGATAGTGCAATTTCAAAGTTGGAATAACAACTTTGAGGAAGTTGATAACTTATCACCTAAGAAGTGGTAGCCTTGAAGGATATTTCTTTTTTATTAAAAAACTTAGCACCATAAACTCCATCGTATATTTGTTCATGAGAAATGAAAGAAAGGGAAAACGGTAACTAAAGAATACTTTTTTTGGGGCTATTAGGTAAACCATATGGGAGAATGCCTCGTTGTATCAAAGTTTTCGGTTTTCGCTTCGAAGATGATTAGTTGTCGAGAAAGACTCAATTTTCCAATATTTCATCCCTATTCTAGGTCAATACACATTTATGTAGGGGATGTAGAAAGATGATCTAACACTTGTTATATATGTGGCTATGGCCTCTAACTACCATTGCATTTTTTACAATGATAGTTGTTTCTTTTTCTTGTTCTCCTAAACCTAAAAAGATGAATAAAAATGAATGAAAAGTGTGAATATTTAAATGAACTGAACTTTACACCAAAAAAAAATATAAATGGTCTTCACAAATCAAGTCAAGTCTTTATGTAGAAAAAAGAAACTAATTGACAAAAGAAAGCCAAGAGGATTCTCACTGAATCCTTTTGGCAAGGATAATGAGGATTTGTAAATTATGTCTGTTTATCATATATCGTACGATTAGTTTTTATCAGGTATTATTTATATTTAAATTTAAATAAAAATATTTAAAATAATTTTTGACCGTACGATATATGATAAACGAATATAATTTATGGATTCCCGATATCCTCACAAAGAGACTTCGACGAAAATCCAGATTCGAAAGAAAGTAGAACGTTCTTGGGCTCTGTGGGGTTACACTACTTGTGCACTCTCAGAGCCAACTCTAGTTGAACATCACTATTACTTAAGGATGGTGAGCAAAAATATTTCCGTTTATATATACGCCTAATTAGTGATTTATACATGAACATATACGAAATAACAAGAGCAATTAGAAAATAACAGAGCTAAGTGCACTTCGTTAATTGGAGTCTAGAGGGGAACTTGACTTGACTTAATTTTGGTCGCATTGAACTCAACATGAAGGAATTAAAAATATAATATATAATTAATTAAAGAGAAGAAGGAAAAATTAAGCATTGTCAGGCCCACCCACACACATATATCTTATAATGGAATTTTGTGCTTTCAATTTTATAGCTGACCCAAAAGGTCTTCTTTCCCTTTTAAGGAAACAAAAGTAGGGTTGTTTTGGACCAAGTGTCCAAATTGATGCATGTGCCATGCATAGTGTGTGTATCCCTTTTCCTTTTCTTTTTCAAATCTTTCTGTCCCTGCCACTGCCCGAAACAAAAGTTGGATTGTTTTGAATAAAATAACATTTCTATATGTTGTACGTAAGTTATTAATTTTTTGGGCCACATAGTGTCCATGTGGCAGAGTTAAGCAAAAGTTTGTTAACAGACTTGAATTCGGATCATCTTTGGATTCTTTTTGTGAAGATCCTATAGATTTATAAATCGTATCCGTTCATCATACATCGTGTGATCAAAAATTATTTTAAATTTTTTTCTTTAAAATTGAACACAAATAGTACCTGACGAAAACTGACCGCACGATGTACGATGAACGGACAAGACTCACGGATCTCTGGGATCCTCACAAAGAGGATCCGGAGAGGATCTTGTTGGAACAGACTTATATGGTGAGGGGTAAAGTGGAACACAAAACAAGTTTTACAGAGTTAGGCCTTCCCAGTGGTTTAAATGAGTTTGGTATCTTGCTACAGCGGTGTGAGTTTGATAGGATGAGTGTTATACAATAAAACCTATGAGTTCAATGTTACTAATTAATTTGAGCAATGATATTATGGAAGGAACTTATTTCATGTCCTTATAAAGGAATCCTTAATGACATGAATTATTTACCCAGTCATAGGCCCTAAACTAATATCAGACTATGATCGTAATTTTTTAGTGCTGGAGTAAGGCGAGTCGGAACTACGAAAACCAAGTATTATATTAATATGCCCTGCAAATCCTTACTTTAAAAAATGGTAGTGTGGTTTTGTAGGTTTGCGAAATTATGTGGTTTTGTAGGTTTTCAATTTTTAGTCGTGTGTCTAATAGCCACCTGAACGCCAATTTGTAAATATTAATTATTTGGTGTATAACTAATTTTTGCGAATCGTGTGTGGTTTTCGTCCTTGACCTTCCATAGTTCCACATATGAAGTATGATGTATCATCACCACACCATTAATAAAGGCATAAGTTGTAAATGTAGATTAACAATTATCACTTAGTATTACGGTCTATTGATATTCTTTTTCACTTGTAAATTATAGGTCTTAGATTTGTTTCTCGTCAAAAATGAATTTGAACCACATTATTGTAAGTCCATTATGAGGTTAAGCTCACCTCGCTTCTGATTAATGTAGATAATATCGTTTGTCTAAAAAAAAATATGATTTGAAAAAAAATTATGTTATTAAATGTCGTGGTTTACAATATAAACATATATAAACTCCAATTATTATTTTTGTCATCTTGCAGCAGGGATTGCAGCCTTTAAAGATA